AAGCCTCACTGCTAAAAACCACTGGGGAGGCAACTTTACTGCGCACCACTGGGGAGGAAAAACTCAAATCTTTCGGGACCACTGGGGGAAAAAGCGTCCTGCTACAAAACCCCTGGGCAAAAAAAGCGTCCAAATTTCCTGCACCACTGGAGTGAAAAACGTCACTGCTGAAAACTGGGGGGACAAGCGCACTGCTTTCCCCACTGGGGAGACAAGCGTCATGCTGCACCAATGGGGAGAAAAGCGTTTACTGCTGCACCCCGGGGAGACCCAAACGTCCTGCTGCACCCCCTGGGGAGAAAAGCGTCACTGCTGCACCACTGGGGAGACAAGCGTCACGCCCGCGCCACTGGGGAGACAAGCGTTAAATGCTGCCCCCACTTGGGGGGGACAACGCAAAATTTCTGCACCAAATGGGGAGAAACCCCGTCTCTGCTTTCACCATAGGGGAGACCCAACGTCACTTTTGCGCCACTGGGGGAGACAACGTCACTGCTGCACCACTGGGGAGATAAGGGGTCACTGGGGTGCCCACTGGGGAGGGGCAAACGTCAAATGCGGGACCAAATTTGGGGGGAAAATGCGTTTACTGCTGCACCCAAAAGGCGAGACAAGCGTCAAATGCTGCAACCCTGGGGGGACAAAACGTCACTGCCCGCACCACTGGGGAAAAAAACATCTCTGCTGCAAAACCCAAGGGGAGCAAGCGTCACTGCTGCACCACTTGGGGGGACAAACGTCCCCTGCTGCACCACCCGGGGAGACAAAACGTCACTTCCCGCCCAATGGGGAGACAAGCGTCACTGCTGCCCCCACCCGGGGAGCCCAAACGTCACCCGCTGCACCACTGGGGAACTGGGGTCACCGTTGCAAACCCCGGGGAGACAAGCGTCCCCTGGGTGCAAACCCCTGGGGAGGGCAAGCGTCACTACCCGCCCACTTTGGGGGGGAAAAAGCGTCCCTGCTGCACCCCCGGGGGAGAAAAAGCGTCCCCCCCGCTGCACCACTGGGGAGACAAAACGTCCCCTGAGCACCACTGGGGAGAAAAAGCGTACCGCTGCCCACTGGGGAAAACCAAAAAGTCACTTCCCGCAAAACCCGGGGAGAAAAAGGGGTCACTGCTGGGACCCCTGGGGAGACCAACGTTCCCCTGCGCAACACTGGGGGGGACAAAAATTTACTGCTGCACCCCTGGGGAACCCAAACCCTCACTGCTGCACCCCCAGGGAGCAAGCGTCACTGCTTTCAAACCACTGGGGAGACAAGCGTCCAAATTGGGTTTCACCCCAAAAGGGTACAAGCGTCAAATGCCCCGGGAAACCCCTGGGGAGACAAGCCCTCACTGCTTTCACCACTGGGGGGACAACCCTCACTGCCACCACTGGGGGGAAAAACTTTCCCCTGCTGCACCACTGGGGAGAAAAAGCGTCATGCTGCAACCCCTGGGGAGAAAAAACGTCACGCTGCACCATGGGGGAGGAAAAAGCGTCACTGAGCACCACAGGGGGGAAAAAGCGCACTGTGCCCCCACTGGGGGGACAAACGTCCCCGCTGCAAAACCCCAGGGGAGCCCAAGGGGTCATGCTGCCCAAATGGGGAGACAAGCGTTAAATGCTGAAACCCCTGGGGAGAAAAAAGCGGTCCTGCTGGGACCACTGGGGGACAAGCGCCCCCTTTCTGCACCCAGGGGGGACAAGCGGGCACTGCTGCAACCCCTGGGGAGGGCAAGCGTCCCCTGTGCAACCCCTGGGGGAAACAAGCTCCCCTGCTGCACCAAATGGGGGGGGACAAGCGTCATGCTGCAAATAATTTGGGGGGACAAGCGTCAATGGGTGCACCCCCTGGGGGGACCCGCGTCACTTTTGGGACCACTGGGGAGACAAGCGTCACGCTGCAACCCCTTGGGGGGAAAAAAGCGTCACTTCTGCCCCCACGGGGAGACAAGCGTCTTCTGCCTTTCACCAATGGGGGGACAAGCGGCACTGAACTGCAAACCCCTGGGGGGGACAAGCGTCCCCTGGGTGCACCACTGGGGAGAAAAGCGTCACTTTCTGCACCATGGGGAACAAAGGGGGGTCCCCTGCTGCACCAATGGGGGGACAAGGTCACTCTGCAAACCCCTTTGGGGGGACAAGCGTCCCCTGCGCACCCTGGGGAGAAAACGCCGTTTCGGGACCACTGGGGAGACAAGCGTCACTGCTGCACCACTGGGGGGGGACAAGCGTCAAATGCTGCAAACCCCTGGGGAACCCAAACTCACTTCTTTCACCAGGGGAGACAAAACGTCACTGCCCCTTTCACCACTGGGGGGAAAAAGCGTCACGGGTGCCCACTGGGGAGACAAGCGTCACTCTGCACCACTGGGGAGACAAGCGTCAATGCTTGCAAACCCCAGGGGAGACAAGCGGTTTTCCCCGCTGCACCATGGGGAGACCAAGGGGTCAACCTTTTGCACCCCAGGGGAGAAAGCGTAAATGCGACCCCCTGGGGAGACAATCCTCACTGCGCAAACCCCAGGGGAGACAAGCGTCAAATGCTGACCACTGGGGAGAAAAAGCGTCAAGCTGCACCACAGGGGAGACAAGCGTCACTGCTGCACCACAGGGGGAACAAGCTTTACTTTTGCACCAAGGGGGACAAAACTCACTGCTGCACCACATAAAATGCAAATTTAATTTAAACCCCCGGGGCAAAAAATGTAGTGAAAAATTTATCGGCCCAAATTTTTTTTTTTGTGGGTTGCCCGATGAAATGGACTGGTCGCATGGCGACCATAGGTTTGGGGATCACCTAAATTTTTTCTTTTTATTTGTGTGGGGGCATCATGCGAGCCGAGCCGAGGAAAAGGGGGCGTTTTTTGGGGGGTTTTGGGCGGGGGTTAATGGTAATAAATTTTTCAGACTTTTTGGTTAAAATTTTGGGGAATATTTCACTGTTTCTGTAGGAAAGTTGGTTAATCCTTCCCCCATTTTTCAGGGTTTTTTATCAATTTTATTGACCTGGTTTGGGGGAGGCGGCAGGTAGGGGGTTGATGGGATGGTGTGTAGAAAGAGGGAGATGAAGGAAGACGGAGGAGAAAGATTGAAAGGAGGGAAAATATGAAAGAATGAAGTGTAGAGAGAGGCAGGCAAACCAGAGAAGCCAATACTGTGTGTTATCTCTCTGTGTGTTATCTATATTTGTGTTATCTCTCTGTGTGTTATCATTCTTTAACACAAGCCGTTCTCTTCAACTTTCTTCCATCACATTGCCGTTTAGTTCTTCTTCTTGTTTCTCCCTTGACAGCATCTTTCTGCCGTGTAAGCCAGAACAAGATTCCTGGCCAGCATCAGCAACTCTCTTCCTCTCCAACTTCTTATCTGCTGCTCTCCTGCTTACTCCTTCCTCGCTCTCCACGTATAGTCTTCTCTTTCCTGTCTTCCTGTGTTCTAGAGCATTCCGTCCATGTCTCCCGAACCCCCAAATTCCTCCTCAATGTGTCTTACGTGTCCCAGTGTTGTACAACATCAGTGATATGACGTATCTCATTTACTAATAGATTCATTTCTACACTCCTCCTCGCCTCGCTGATTACTAAACATAACAGAATTACCGACAATATGTTAGGTAAAAGGACGCATGTGCTACTATTGTGACATTTTATTGTGGCAACGTTTCGCTCTCCAGGAGCTTTGTTAAGCTTGATAAAGTTGCTGCAGAGTGAAACGTTGAGACAGTAACCTCTGACGTTAGTTGCACATGTGTCCTTTCAGCACACATCATGGTGATACCTACAAGCGACTCCCCTGGTATGTATCTCTGCTGATGTGTAACCCTCTCTGAGTGAGTATTTGGTTAAGCCTCATCGGTGCATCATCTACAATGCTTCTCATCAAGTCTGGTGTACCATCTCTCACGTTTCTCTGTCGTGTTGCTCACGCAACATGACAGAGAAACATCTCTTTCCCTTTCCGACCGCTTAACGTCGGGCCGGTGAAGGGACTGAAGACTCTAGAACTCAAAGTCCAGTGACCACCCCTTCTTATAAGTTTAGTGAGCTCTTATGTCACCATAATTACTGATAATTTTGTGACTATGGAGCAAAAAAAAATAAAACCAGTTTAATACAGCCGTTTATATCTAAACATTGTGGTGAGTTTGATAGTAACAGCAAAGTTCGTGGCCAATGAACTTTAATTCACTGTCGAACCGGCTTCAAACTCTGCACGAGACGTATTATCAGTGTATGCCATATATATGTCGTTCACTATGGAATTATTTGGACACAAGATAATGGGCGTTTGAGCCAAAGAAGCAGTGCACAATAGACAGACCACTGGACAGGCATGTAAGACTCTTCTGACAGGATCTTCCAGCATGCTGCAATCATTACCTCCCTTCTCTGGCAGCTCACACACCAGGGAGTAGTGGACTACATCCGCTAACTTTCTGATACATTACCATAATTGCTGGACGCAGGTATAGCGAGAGTGAGAGGCAGCTGTGCTAGTCACTCTCCCCCCTCACCTCAGTATCGAGAGGGAGAGGCAGCTGTAACTAGTAACTGTCAGCTGTACTAGTCACTCTCTCCTTCACTTCAGTATCGAGAGGGAGAGGCAGCTTTAACTGAGGGAGAGGCAGCGTTAACTAGCAACTGTCAGCTGTGCTAATCACTCTCCCCCTCACCTCAGGATCGAGAGGGAGAGACAGTTGTAACTAGCAATCAATCGGCTGTGCTAATTACTCTCCCCCTCACCCCATTATTGATATATCTACACAACATTACCTCTTTGTATTACAAGAGATGTTTTGGACCAGTAGTGACAAGACTTCGTGAAGTGGGTGAGAGCAGACTTAGGAAGTGCACCTCTCTCTCTCTCTCTGGCACTCAACAGACTGAGGAACAAGCCTTCACCTGACTTCAAGTTTACTAGACATATAATAACAATAGTGAGTGCGGTGAAGCTGTGAGTGAGTATATATGAGTGAGAGAGAGAGAGAGGACGCTAGTACACACTCACCTCCTCCTCCTGTGTCATGGCCAACTCTGGTTCATGTTCGTCCAGCTTGTTCAACAACTTGTCCTGAAATAAATACAAAAAGACACACAGTTAGCCAGGGATACACAGCATATACCACCGTTCATCCCTCAACCAGGAATACCTCATCCCCCGTTAATCGTTTGCAGTGAAAGCACTGTATTTACAGTGCTAAGAAGCACCTTGCTTCAACACCCTCCGTTTTACCTCCATTATAAATGAGAGTGTAGGATTTCTGAAGCAAGTTTTAATACTGTTTGAGCAAGACTTACAAGAACATTAAAGTTGAAAAACAAGTTTGTGTTTGTTTCTTAAGACGTGTTTGGTATTCTCAAGTTGTTCTGTTATACATACGTAACACTTGTATTATTATTATTATTATTATAAATAGCAGCAGTAGTAGATGTACTGGTGGTAGTCGTACTTTGAGCTACAGCGGGATGGTGATTGGTGGGTGGAAAGAGGGAGGTGGTAGTAGGTGGGTTGTGGGCAATGAATGGGGTTTTCCTAAAAGCTAGCTGCCCACCCTAGGCAACCCACACTAGGGAGCCCACCCTTGGCAATCCACCTAAAGAAACCCACGTTAGGTAACCCACCCTAGGTAACCCACACAAGGCTACCCACCCTCCCACTGATACTTCAGACTGCCCCAGCATCCACAGTCTAGGATAGACAGCTATGATTAACCGTGTTCCCAGCTGGTTGAGATGACATGCAGGATAGCCAGCTGGTTGAGATGGCAGGGAGGATAGCCAGCTGGATGAGATGGCATGCAGGATAGCCAGCTGGTTGAGATAAGAGGCAGGATATGGGTATGTATGTCAGAGGATAGTGGACCTGTCCACTTGTTCGCAGGCTACAGTGGGTGGTGGGGAGTGAGTAGCGAGTGGGTGGTGGACGGGTGGGTGGGTGGTCGACGGGTGGGTGGGTGGTTGTACAATTATTGTGTCCAGGAGGCCAGTAATAAGATAGGTGGATGAAATTAGGCGTTCCATGTATTGTTGAGTTGCATGCCACGCCCACCCACCCACACACCCACCCCTCCAATCAATCAGTAACGCCCATCCACCCAGTTCTAGCCTATCCTATATAGATAATTTCTCTGACTGGCTTCAACATAAGAAGCATAAGACAAACAGTGGTACTGTGAGTGACTACAGTCAGTCCTGATGAGTCCTGAGTGGCTACAGTCAGTCCTGATGAGTCCTGAGTGGCTATAGTAAGTCCTGATGAGTCCTGAGTGGCTATAGTCAGTCCTGATGAGTCCTGAGTGGCTACAGTCAGTCCTGATGAGTCCTGAGTGGCTATAGTCAGTCCTGATGAGTCCTGAGTGGCTATAGTTAGTCCTGATGAGTCCTGAGTGGTTACAGTCAGTCCTGATGAGTCCTGAGTGGCTATAGTAAGTCCTGATGAGTCCTGAGTGGCTATAGTCAGTCTTGATGAGTCCTGAGTGGCTATAGTCAGTCCTGATGAGTCCTGAGTGGCTACAGTCAGTCCTGATGAGTCCTGAGTGGCTACAGTCAGTCCTGATGAGTCCTGAGTGGCTATAGTCAGTCCTGATGAGTCCTGAGTGGCTACAGTCAGTCCTGATGAGTCATGAGTGGCTATAGTCAGTCCTGATGAGTCCTGAGTGGCTATAGTTAGTCCTGATGAGCCCTGAGTGGCTACAGTCAGTCCTGATGAGTCCTGAGTGGCTATAGTCAGTCCTGAGGAGTCCTGAGTGGCTATAGTCAGTCCTGATGAGTCCTGAGTGGCTACAGTCAGTCCTGATGAGTCCTGAGTGGCTACAGTCAGTCCTGATGAGCCTGAGTGGCTATAGTCAGTCCTGATGAGTCCTGAGTGGCTATAGTTAGTCCTGATGAGTCCTGAGTGGCTACAGTCAGTCCTGATGAGTCCTGAGTGGCTACAGTCAGTCCTGATGAGTCCTGAGTGGCTACAGTCAGTCCTGATGAGTCCTGAGTGGCTACAGTCAGTCCTGATGAGTCCTGAGTGGCTACAGTCAGTCCGGATGAGTCCTGAATGGCTACAGTCAGTTCTGATGAGTCCTGAGTGGCTACAGTCAGTCCTGATGAGTCCTGAGTGGCTACAGTCAGTCCTGATGAGTCCTGAGTGGCTACAGTCAGTCCTGATGAGTCCTGAGTGGCTACAGTCAGTCCTGATGAGTCCTGAGTGGCTACAGTCAGTCCTGATGAGTCCTGAGTGGCTACAGTCAGTCCTGATGAGTCCTGAATGGCTACAGTCAGTCCTGATGAGTCCTGAGTGGCTACAGTCAGTCCTGATGAGTCCTGAGTGGCTACAGTCAGTCCTGATGAGTCCTGAGTGGCTACAGTCAGTCCTGATGAGTCCTGAGTGGTTACAGTCAGTCCTGATGAGTTCTGAGTGGCTACAGTCAGTCCTGATGAGTCCTGAGTGGTGCAGTCAGTCCTGATGAATTCTGAGTGGCTTTAGTCAGTCCTGATGAGTCCTGAGTGGCTACAGTCAGTCCTGATGAGTCCTGAGTGGCTATAGTCAGTCCTGATGAGTCCTGAGTGGCTATAGTCAGTCCTGATGAGTCCTGAGTGGCTACAGTCAGTCCTGATGAGTCCTGAGTGGCTACAGTCAGTTCTGATGAGTCCTGAGTGGCTACAGTCAGTCCTGATGAGTCCTGAGTGGTTTCAGTCAGTCCTGATGAGTCCTGAGTGGCTACAGTCAGTCCTGATGAGTCCTGAGTGGCTATAGTCAGTCCTGATGAGTCCTGAGTGGCTATTGTCAGTCCGATGAGTCCTGAGTGGCTATAGTTAGTCCTGATGAGTCCTGAGTGGCTATAGTCAGTCCTGATGAGTCCTGAGTGGCTATAGTCAGTCCTGATGAGTCCTGAGTGGCTACAGTCAGTCCTGATGAGTCCTGAGTGGTTACAGTCAGTCCTGATGAGTCCTGAGTGGCTACAGTCAGTCCTGATGAGTCCTGAGTGGCTACAGTCAGTCCTGATGAGTCCTGAGTGGCTACAGTCAGTTCTGATGAGTCCTGAGTGGCTACAGTCAGTCCTGATGAGTCCTGAGTGGCTGCAGTCAGTCCTGATGAGTTCTGAGTGGCTTTAGTCAGTCCTGATGAGTCCTGAGTGGCTACAGTCAGTCCTGATGAGTCCTGAGTGGCTATAGTCAGTCCTGATGAGTCCTGAGTGGCTATAGTCAGTCCTGATGAGTCCTGAGTGGCTATAGTCAGTCCTGATGAGTCCTGAGTGGCTATAGTCAGTCCTGATGAGTCCTGAGTGGCTATAGTCAGTCCTGATGAGTCCTGAGTGGCTACAGTCAGTCCTGATGAGTCCTGAGTGGCTACAGTCAGTCCTGATGAGTTCTGAGTGGCTATAGTCAGTCCTGATGAGTCTTGAGTGGCTACAGTCTGTCCTGATGAGTCCTGAGTGGCTACAGTCAGTCCTGATGAGTCCTGAGTGGCTATAGTCAGTCCTGATGAGTCCTGAGTGGCTATAGCCAGTCCTGATGAGTCCTGAGTGGCTATAGTCAGTCCTGATGAGTCCTGAGTGGCTATAGTCAGTCCTCATGAGTCCTGAGTGGCTATAGTCAGTCCTGATGAGTCCTGAGTGGCTATAGTCAGTCCTGATGAGTCCTGAGTGGCTATAGTCAGTCCTGATGAGTCCTGAGTGGCTATAGTCAGTCCTGATGAGTCCTGAGTGGCTATAGTCAGTCCTGATGAGTCCTGAGTGGCTATAGTCAGTCCTGATGAGTCCTGAGTGGCTATAGTCAGTCCTGATGAGTCCTGAGTGGCTATAGTCAGTCCTGATGAGTCCTGAGTGGCTATAGTCAGTCCTGATGAGTCCTGAGTGGCTATAGTCAGTCCTGATGAGTCCTGAGTGGCTATAGTCAGTCCTGATGAGTCCTGAGTGGCTATAGTAAGTCCTGATGAGTCCTGAGTGGCTATAGTCAGTCCTGATGAGTCCTGAGTGGCTATAGTCAGTCCTGATGAGTCCTGAGTGGCTATAGTCAGTCCTGATGAGCCCTGAGTGGCTATAGTCAGTCCTGATGAGTCCTGAGTGGCTACAGTCAGTCCTGATGAGTCCTGAGTGGCTATAGTCAGTCCTGATGAGTCTTGAGTGGCTACAGTCAGTCCTGATGAGTCCTGAGTTGCTACAGTCAGTCCTGATGAGTCCTGAGTGGCTATAGTCAGTCCTGATGAGTCCTGAGTGGCTATAGCCAGTCCTGATGAGTCCTGAGTGGCTATAGTCAGTCCCGATGAGTCCTGAGTGGCTATAGTCAGTCCTGATGAGTCCTGAGTGGCTATAGTCAGTCCTGATGATCCTGATGGCTAATAGTCCTGAGATCCGAGTGGCTATAGTCAGTCCTGATGAGTCCTGAGTGGCTATAGTCAGTCCTGATGAGTCCTGAGTGGCTATAGTCAGTCCTGATGAGTCCTGAGTGGCTATAGTCAGTCCTGATGAGTCCTGAGTGGCTATAGTCAGTCCTGATGAGTCCTGAGTGGCTATAGTCAGTCCTGATGAGTCCTGAGTGGCTATAGTCAGTCCTGATGAGTCCTGAGTGGCTATAGTCAGTCCTGATGAGTCCTGAGTGGCTATAGTCAGTCCTGATGAGTCCTGAGTGGCTATAGTCAGTCCTGATGAGTCCTGAGTGGCTATAGTCAGTCCTGATGAGTCCTGAGTGGCTATAGTCAGTCCTGATGAGCCCTGAGTGGCTATAGTCAGTCCTGATGAGTCCTGAGTGGCTACAGTCAGTCCTGATGAGTCCTGAGTCGCTACAGTCAGTCCTGATGAGTCCTGAGTGGCTATAGTCAGTCCTGATGAGTCCTGATGCTATGTCTATGAGTCCTGTGCTAGTCTCTGATGAGTCCTGAGTGGCTATAGTCAGTCTATGTCCTGATGAGTTCCTGATGAGTCCGAGCTGTAGTCAGTCCTGATGAGTCCTGAGTGGCTATAGTCAGTCCTGATGAGTCCTGAGTGGCTATAGTTAGTCCTGATGAGTCCTGAGTGGCTATAGTCAGTCATGATGAGTCCTGAGTGGCTATAGTCAGTCCTGATGAGTCTTGAGTGGCTATTG